TCACCATCTCCTGTGTGTTAAACTGTTTGCTGTATTTTCCACGTGACAGTCCTTCAGATATTTCAAGTATCAAACTGCCATTGCCTTTTTCTTCCCATTAATTTCTTGCTTGTCTTGCCACTCTTTCAGGGCTACTGCTACTATTCAGCAAGGTGATGTGACAGATGTCAGGGAGCAGCAAAAAGAAGCAGGAGAAGACAGCTGTGTGTGCAACCCAACTGCCCTGAACCTCCTTTGGCTAGGAAGCTGCCTTCAGCAGTGGAAGAGGATGCTGTGTCAGTGGCCAGTGCAGAAAGAAGATTCAATTTTCCAGTTTACTGGCTTTTATGAAAAGAATGGAAACAGGTATTTTCATTTTGTTGTGGTCAACAAAATACCTTGGGCCAGCCCTGTATCATTTCCTTTCCCAGAACTGTTTTTTTGGGGGGCACTACACAAGAGATTCTGTCTCCTACATATTTTTCTGGGAGTGACTTGATACGGAAATCAGAAATCTTTATTGTGCTGCCATACTTTGGCCAATGGAGTGGAGCTTTGTCCCTCCTCATTCTCACAATCCATCACATCCCAAAAATCTGCTCTGGAGGGATTCATGACCCTCTAGAGCAGACCTCAAGTGTGATGGTGGGAAGGGATGAAGGGATGAGAGAAAGCAGTCCCCTATCATTTCTGTGACGCAGCTACCCATTGGATCCTGGCCCATGATTCATAAAAATGCAAATTGTTCGTCAGTAAGAGAGTCAGGTAAACCATTCTTCAAACAATAAAGTCATGTGATGAGTACCAGTTTTAAATGAAACCAAAATAGGCCCATCAAGACACAAAAGGCAATTATCAATGGGGAGCTTTGTAGCTTGTAAAATTCTAAAATAAACCTCTATTGTTAAAAAAAATTGATGGAACAGGAAAAAACAGCAAGAAGAACACAACAGCAGGTTTAAAACTACCACAAAAGTATTGAGCATGGTCTATAGCCCTTTGGTGTTAAATGTCATCATTACTTGCAAAAAGAGAATAGAAAATGAAGGCGACTAGGTAAAAGGGAAATAGAATGGATAGATGGAACACAGACAGAACACCTCTTAGGAGGTGAAGATGTGCTGGGACATTTTGTGACTAGGCCTACATATAGTATTAAAATCAACTACAATAATATGGAATAGGTTTGTTCCTATTCATGAATGTTCTGTCCTGCCAGCTTTCCCCACTTGCTCATATTTTATGTTATCTCCACAAAGAGAACATCTAATGCTAGCAGATGAGAGCACCTTCTGCTGTGTGTGCCAGCAGAACAGGCATTTGAACGACCTTTCCACTCCATTTAATTCTGTGTACAGAATTTACAGAAGGGTAAAGAAAGATGAGAGTCTTCCTAAGAGCAACTTGAAGCATGAGAGAGCTCATTGGATGAGGAACACACAGAGAGAGTAGGAAGTGAGGCTTATGTTTGTCCACAGCTTTGATTTATGTTGATCCTCAGTAAATTATACCTTTTTTCATTATTTTCCTTAATGCCCCCAAGATAATGATACCTTATGATGGTGAAATCCAATTTCATTCTCACAAGTTCTTCTCTTGTGTTTTTTTTGTATGTCATTCAGTAGAATGTATTTTACAGAATGAAAACAAAGTCAAAAACTAGATTTAAAAAAATCTCACCATTACCCCCAATTTCAGGCAAGACAACTGGTTGAGGATTCTCCAAACCCCATGACAGATCCACCTCCAACATGAGATGAAGACACCAAACATATTTCTCCATCATGTTTCTTCCCTTTTGAGTAAAATGTCTCCATAGAAAATGAATGTCTTTTCCCTTTGGGAAGCTACGTACACATACACGCACCTGCCAGCGCACCTAAAGCATTGAGCAACGTATCCAGCCAGCTATTCTGACAGCATTACAGCAATCAATGGCACACATCTATTCAATATCTGTTTTGTTCTGAGGTTTGTTCTTTTGACATAATTGCATACAAACTCAAATACAAATCTGGAAAGTTGCATCTACTGTGAGATTACTTCAAAATAAGCATTTATATGAAAAAAGATGTTGTACTGAACCAAATTCCATGGAGACTTATTTTAAAACCATTTGAAAGAAGTGGTTTCTTTTTTTTCTTTTTTTTAAAGTAATCAGATATATTCAGTACAACTCATTACAAGCTGTAAACACTAAAGCCCACAGAGGTGCACATCTCCAAACAATATGCATCATATGTCAGTGACTAAGAACCCAATTATCTTTATTTAGTCAGAAGGAAGTCCTCAGTCAGAGCTGAAGTACAGTACTTTTCTTGGATTACAGATCCATTGGCTTTACTGGCTGGGGGATTCTTAGAATTGTGGTCCAAAAAAGTAACTTCTCCAAGTTCTAATTGCAAGCAAACATTTGTAGACATGGCAGCTTAAATCTGGCATCTAGGAATGTACCTTGTTCAGGCCCTGCTAGGCTTCTTGATACACATACGCACAGCCATTGAAAAGCTAACAAGGTTCTCTGGCTAAATCTCAGAATTTGCAGGTGGAGTTTAAGAAAGTGATTTCAGGCAGAGATCTGCAGGAACAACCAGCCGAAAGCTCCAGGCAGAGAGGCAATGACAAGTGGGCAGAGAACTAGGCTATGTTCAGCCTCTTTTTACAAGAACTTTGCAATGGTCTGCCCTCATTCTTGTCAATGCTCTCAAGTGGACTTGCCCAGCTGGCTGATTGTTTTTGATGGGTGTATTTTGCCAAAGGGCAGCAATGTATCAATACAGAAAAGTACACCTATTTGAGCTGGGCTGCTCACCTTCCTGGCTCTAGTGCAATAACAAACCTGGTGATTTTCATTGTTAATAGTGACTCCCTAAAGGAAGCCGCAGGCTTGAATCTGCGGGAGCTGAGCAAGGACAGGACGTTTTGGAGAACACTCCTTCATTAGGCTGAAGAAGGAACTGAGCATGTTAGCCTTGAGAAAAGAAGACTGGGGGGTGATAAGATAGAACTTTTAAATACAGTATCTGAAAGGCTGTCATACAGAGGAGGGGCAAGATCTGTTCTCAATCATCCCAGAGGGCAGGACACACAACAATGGGTTCAAGTTAAAGGAAGCCAGATTTCAGTTGAATATCAGGAAAAACTTCCTCACTGTTAGAGCAGTAAGACAGTGGAACCAGTGACCTCGGCAGCTGGGGAGTGCTCCAACACTGGAGGCATTCAAGAAAAACGTAGATAATCACCTGGCAGATGTGCTTTGATTGTATTCCTGCATTGAGCAGGGATTTGGACTTGATGGCCTTGTAGGGCCCTTCCAACTTCACTTTTCTATGATTCTATGACATGATTCTACAATAGGGTCACCATAAGCCAGAGGCGACTTGACAGCACATAACAACAACATAGACCACACCCTTTGTTAGGGATGTATTAGTGATACATGTCCAGTTTGATTCCGTACACCCAACAGCAGTCAGCTATCAGTAGGATTATATATGTATTTTATCTGACTTTTTTCAGAGACTTGCTCACTAATCTAGATTCCCCTCCCCCCCCCCATTAATGGTTACCACTACTTATTCTTAGGCTATGACAAAGGTGGGCAAAGCCTCATGTTTGGGATGCAAATCCAAGTCCCCCTGCCCAACCACAAAAAAACATTGAGTGTGAAATGCCAGACAGGTTCCTGCTGTTTCTTTAGTGTGTATGTGTGTGTGTGCACATGTGGTAACCAATCCCCAGTGCCAACAAGCAAAAAACCATGGTTAGAGACTGTGGTAACCAATGCCCAGTGCCAACAAGCAAAAAACCATGGTTCCTAAACATCTTTCCCTTCTCCCTTTGGTTGGTTCAAATGTGAAGAGGGCCCTGGGGCTAGGAAATGCCCTTCAAGGCGGCACTTTGATTCCTCCCAAACTACAGCTCCCACACCGCTCTCTCTTCTTCTTTCAAACTGGTTCTGACACAAGAAGCAGTTCTGAACTTCCCCCTTATGTGCGCATATAAGATGCTGCGGGCGTATGTCTTCTGTGGGAGCGAGATGGGATTGTTCAAACCTAGGTAACTTGGTAACCCGTTCCTGGAAGCGTTTTATTTTTAGGAGAAAATGACTCACAATTTTATAATACCGCAAGTTTTATTTTGCAATTATGTAAACTCTTACAACCTCACAGCATTTTACAGAACTAACCATTCAGTCATCTTCCCTTGCCCTCCTCCCGAATATACTGGCCAGAGTGCAATTGTTTGTTTGTGCCAGAGTAAATGCAATGAAGCCGCAACCTGCCACTTAAATTCCAGGATGCAGGATGAGAGATACAAAACAAATTTCTAAGTAGTGACAATTTGTTGCTGGGATTAACACCACTGCACTTATGCCAGCACAAATAGGCAATAGGATTCTGGCCACTGATAAGAACTTATTACACACAGTTTCTTTTTCAACAAATCAACCACTGGGCAGTGCTATTCCAAGCCATTTTGCTGCCTGATGCAACACACAATATTCTTCCCCCACAACTTCCATGCCCAAAATGAGCTGGATTGGCAATTGACTTTAAATTCAGCAGTGGTGATGGGATCTTCCACCACACCTTAAGGCGATAGGTTCATTTAAGAGGTGCAGGCCAGGCTGTATGGCAGATTCACACAAAGAGGAATGGCTGCATTCAGGACCAGATTCACACGTAAACTAAGTAAGTTACAGTTTCAGGGCTTCTAAGTAGAAAACCAATACTAAATGTTCAAATCTTACATAAATGACAAAATTACACATATTTATATTCGCGAAGGCTTTCACGGCCAGGATCTAATGGTTGTTCTGGGTTTTTCGGGCTCTTTGGCTATGTTCTGAAGGTTTCGCCAGTCTCTGTGGCCGGCATCTTCAGAGGACAGGAGCCAGAACTCTGTGCTGAGATTCATCCAGTCTTGCCTTTCACGTGATGTATTCTGCCTGTAAGTGCTGTCCTCTGAGGATGCCGGCCACAGAGACTGGCGAAACGTTAGGAAGAACCAACCTTCAGAACACGGCCAAAGAGCCCGAAAAACCCACAACAACCATTACACATATTTGTTTGGCAATGGCATGAAGCCTTTAAACTACACATAATTTGGACCTCAGTCTGTCTTAATCTGGTCCCCAATGGGTGCTTTAGAAAAAAATGGCTGAAAGTCTGCCATTTTGGTGAAATACTGGGATTTAAAGCCATTTCATGACTGATAGCTAAAACACTTCTATTCATTTGTTACACATGATCTGCCTTTCCTCTTATGAGTTCAAAGCAGTGTACACAGCTCCTTTTCTCACAACATTGTAAGGAAGGACACAATGAGATTGGTTCAAGGTCACCCAGCAAATGTCATGGTTGAACGGAGATATGAAATCTGGTCTCCCAGGTCCTAGCAGAACCCTCTAACCACTACCCCATGTCCGCCCTTATTTAAATCGCAAGCAACCATCAAACATAAGATTTGGCCATTGGGCTCAGTATTTTTTGCAAGCTTATTTTTATGCAATCCTAAGTGGTGCAGTAATACAAAAGTAATGCAGAAAAGTTGCATACTTTTAAATGCACACACAAACAGAATCAATACAAAAATAAAATCTTCTTATAAATATATACTTTATAAAAAAAACAACAACAACACAGTCTGTTCAAGTAGGAAGTGATCTTGCAACAGAGGGTTACTTCACTTTGTAAGACAAAGCCTGTTTGAAACGTCTCTTGAGATCTTGCATGTTTGGCGACCTGGGCCGAGGGATGATGGAAGATCTCCTTTTGCCTCCATGGACACTGCTTTGAGTTTTGCTGACTTCTTTGCAAAGATACTGAAATACATCACACACACCTTGGCAGTTATCACTAGTAGAGACTTCTAAGAAGACACTGCCCAGTTCATTTGCCAGCTGTAGGCCATCATTCACGGATACCTGTCTGGAATGAGCCAAGTCTCCTTTGTTGCCTACAACGACAACAGGGATTTTAGAGTCTGGACAGATCTTCCGGATGTGCTGGTAGAGGGGTCGGATGGACTGGTAGCTGTGGTAGTCTGTAATAGAATAGACCAAAACAAATCCATCTGCCCACTTGAGACACCTGGAAAGTGAGTCCAACATCTGTGCTACATCTTCTTGAACCTGAAAAGAAAAGAGAGTGCTCATGTACAGAAGCCTTTAAAACAGCAAACTTTCAAAAACACATTTAGTCAGTGCAGGGTTTCTCCAGAATGGTTGGTTGTGGAGCAGGATATTCACTTTTAAAGCCTTCTGTTACACAACAACCAACTCAAATATTCACAAAGAGCACCTGGCACTGGTTTGTGAAGCCTACACTGCATGTTTTTCCAGATACCTTTGTACGATGATTACAAACATACTCATTACTGCTGGTACTTGAGTCCAGACTGGGTGAAAATACAGCACACTCATTCTTCAACAGACACTTCTAACACCAACCAGAAAGGGATGCATATCTATAGCTTTTAATGTGGATGAAACAAAGTGCATTTTCTACAGTATATGTATATTGGGGCAATGGTTCTCAAATTTTGGTCCAATATGTTTTGGACTTCAACTCCCAGAAGCCCCTATGTATATTGGGGCAATGGTTCTCAATTTTTGGTCCAATATGTTTCGGACTTCAACTCCCAGAAGCCCCAACCAGCAAGACAACCTGCTCACAAATGTTTTGGTGTTAAAAAACATCTGGAGGTCCAAAGACTAAAAAAACAGTCTATTGTGCCATACAATAATCTAAGCCAGTGGTTTTCAACCGTGGGCATCCCAGGTGTTTCTGGACTGCATTCCCAGACACCATCACCATTGGCTGTGCTGGCTGAGGTTTTTGGGAGTTGCAGTCCAAGAGCATCTGGGTTACACAAGGTTAGGATCCACTGGTCTAAGCAATCTAAGATATTCTTCTCCAACATGGTGTCCAACACGCCAATCACACCAGTGAATGTGAAGGGGAGAATATGAGAAGAGCTGATCCACACCCCACTCTGGCCAGAGAGAGATTGTTTGAGCATTATAAATATACACTCTAGAAGTCAATTAGAAACAGAAATCCTTTGAGGAATGGCATATTTAGGATTTTTCTTTACCTCAATGCATCCTGGAGTATCTTGAATTTGCAAGAAAATCTGATCGCCTTCAACGTGAACAAGTCTTGAATATAGGTTTCCTGCAGATATAAAAATGAAAGGTCATGAAAAACCATTGCACATTAGTTTGTGGTTGGAGACAATAAAAATGGTGGGGGAGATAAATGTTCTGGACCAGAGAGTGCAATCCTTCCCCATGTTAGTGGTGTAGGCAAACAAGGATTAAACGCTGACTTGAGAAATCAAAGTTACGAGCACCTTACTCAGCCATAAAAATCCACTGGGTGACCTTGGACCAAACACATATTTGAACCTAGCCTACCTCAAAGGGTTGTGAGGAGAAAATAGGTGGCAAGAGAACTACTCTTCAGCTTCTTGGAAGAAGAATGGCTATAACTGCATTAAGTTAATTTGATTTCCCAAAGCTTACGGGTCCCCCTCCTCCTCTTGCATCATGCACTTACAAAATGGCAGGCACAGACTCATTTCCTGGGCTTCCTGGAAATAATGACAGTGTGCAGCCATCCTGAGAGCACAAAGGCAGGCCCCTTGCTAATACCTCCCTGTGCAGGACTCAGCCCCAGCATCTGCACCCCCCCCAAAAAAAAGATGGGGATGCAAGTGGTTTTTTATTTTTTTTTATTTTTTATTTTTTTCCTGTGCAGGAGATAGGACTCAGCCCCAGCATCTGCAACCCCCCCCCCCAAAAAAAAGATGGGGAGGCAAGTTTTTGTTGTTTTTTTGAAAAGGAAAGAAAAACACTCACCTGTATTGGGTTCGTAGTCTCCAATAAACCTCTTGGTTAGGTACCGAACGATCATAGCTGAAAAGAAGCAGAATCCTTGGCTTACTAAAAGAGGACACATGACCTACATACTCCTCCATCCAAAAAGCATCGGTAGGGAGGGAGGTGAGAAAGGCCCACTCTAACCCCAAGAACGAAACACCCCCGAACTGCAAATCCTCCCGGGACCCGCAGATAAACTGGACCATCCTTATGACTCCGGGGGGGAGGGATGCTGGCGATCTATTTTCTCGTAGGGCTCTACGCACCAGCTCACCCACCCCAAGAATATGCCCGGGTCTGAGGAATCCCGCTTTCCGACGGCCCCCAGCTTTTAGGCAACCATGTCATCCAAGGGGAGCGGAAACACGGACGACAGCTCTCTTTTCCACCCCTTTGGCCCACCCGAGTTCCTCCGCCACGCCAGCCTTCCTCGGGGCGATCTATTTTCTCGTAGGGCTCTACGCACCAGCTCACCCACCCCAAGAATATGCCCGGGTCTGAGGAATCCCGCTTTCCGACGGCCCCCAGCTTTTAGGCAACCATGTCATCCAAGGGGAGCGGAAACACGGACGACAGCTCTCTTTTCCACCCCTTTGGCCCACCCGAGTTCCTCCGCCACGCCAGCCTTCCTCGGCTCGGGGGGTGGGGGGTAAGGGATGGGGGGGTGCTCTCCCAGCGCGCTCACCGCTTTTCCCCACGCTCCCGGTGCCCAGCACCGCCAGCCTC